GCGCCGGCTCTAGACGTGCCCTGGCGATCCCCAGGCAGCGAGCCTACACATAAATCATTATTCACCATTTTCATGGGTTTGCATTTTATACCTACTTCCAGGTGTCAGTTTTTGTTCCACGACAGGTATGCCTGTTACCCTCTGGGTATCGGTTCTAAGAATACCCAGAAAGCATCCCCCTTTCGCAGGGGGCCGCGCCTGATAGAAGAACTAATAAAAACTCCCACAGGTTATTATTATTATTATTATTTTGATTTAAAATGGATTCAGGATTTTTTTTATACTTTGGCAACAATGTCAACTTCGATCTCTGACGTAGATAATGACGTGACGGTATGTATACTTCATCTAAATTACATACCGATGCACGTCATTATCAACGTCAGAGATCGAAGTTGACATAGTTGCCAAAGTAAAAAAAAATACTGACTCCATTTTAAATCAAATCATTTTTGAAATAAAACACACTAATTTTGTTCTAAAAAGAATAGATTTTATTAAATAGGTAAAAATATAAAACAAGAAGTATTCACTTTAAAATTCAAAATAATAAAGTACAAGAGTGTCAACACCGCAACTGTCAAATAAGTGTTACCAATTTATGTCAAAATTTCACCTTCGTTCGATAACAGTTACAGTGTGTTCCGAACAAAGGTTCTTCATAAAAACGCTTTATAATGCATTTACACAAATTAAATGAAACATATTATTGTGTATTTCTTTAAGTCAACATTAATAGAAATTTTTAAATATTCTTTCTACGCGTATATAATAAAATATGTCTAGTGGCTGTAATGCCATTGTACTCGGCAAAGTGATTCTAAAAAAGAACACACCTTTCGCCTAAATATTTCGTGTTGGTATCATGTGACGTCACGGGCTATGACGCCGATGACGTGCATCGGTATGTAAATTAGATGAAGTGTACATTAGATGAAGTATAAACTCGGTTCGTTAATCCCGGTCCGAACTGTCTAGTGATTTTAGTAATTATACATAATATAGTATTTTACGAAGTTAGTTACTTTTTGACAGACTAAAAGTGGCTGGAAATTACTATACAACCAAGCACACGTGCTTATAGCGCATTTCATTAGAGTATTTCTTCGACCTCTTTTGCAAACTTATACTATGACTTAGAAATGTAAAGCATGTATAAAGAAAGTAAGTTTCTATTATATATAAAAAATATATTTTATAAAAAAGTTACGGTAATATAGTTTATATCGTTAGGTTGCGCCAAATGTAGGCAACCAACTTAAATTTTGTTAGGATTTAGCTGGAGTTTCTTGAGAATATATTTAATAAACATTTAATATTTTCTAGTTAATTTATTATTTTTTTAAAGTGATGATAATAATGCTGAATAAGCAATATTTCAAATGATATATAATTACAAGACGTACTTAATATTGTGTTATATAATCCTAATAATATAATATTCATATTATAATTAAAAAATATCACTTATTAAAAATATAATCCAATATCATCAAAAATATAATTGAAAAATCTCATAATATTCTATTATTCTTATCAGAAACTAGTTTTTGTCGACCCGGGATTTTACCTTTTTATCTAACGTACTTGGTACTTTATTATGCGGATTATATCCGCACTAATAACACAATATTAAGTACGTTTTGTGATTAAGTATCATTTAAAATATTGCTTATTTAGCTTATTATCATCAATTTTAAAAAATAATAAATTAACTGGAAAATATTAAACGTTTATTAAAAATATTCCCAAGAAACTCCAGCTAAATACTAACAAAAAGTTTAAGTTGGTTGCCTACATTTGGAGCAACTTAACGATATAAACTAAATTACTGTAACTTTTTTATAAAATATATTTTTTTATATATAATATATATTTTATATGTAATAGAAACTTTATACATGCTATAAATTTCTAAGCGAATTTAATTTTTGACGCCATGTCAAACTGAACTGGATGTTAACTGAGATGTTTTTGTTATTAAGAACATATTTACATAATTTTATAAATATAATTTAGTGATCAACCTACGCCGAATGAGCAAATAATTAAAAAAAAATGGTTGGTGTTTTGAATAAATCTTTGTGCAGTTTGATTACCTTGTAATTTAACAGCATCCTTACTCATCTAAAAATATTAACTTTTAAAGAACATTTATCATATTTATTTAAGAAAAACTTACCAACGCTTTATCTGATAGAACAAATGGAAAACTTTGACTATCCCTAATAATAAAATTCAAAATAGAACTAACTAATTAACTAAATAGAACTAATAAAGAATTAAACAAAAATAATGGAACAATAAAACTATATAAGCTAAAATAAACAACGCGAATAATACAAATATTTGCTACAATTTATTAAATTGTAACAACTTAAATATTATTTTTAAATATACAGGGAAAATTTGATGGGTTTAATATACACTAACTGTTCGTCGCCTGATGAATGTGAATGCCGGCGCCATATTTCTATTAAAAAATATTTTGTATGACGGATTGTTCAGTTCGGCGCCAGGACTGTGACGAGACGTGACTGATGTGTCTGAATCGACCTTTAGCTGTGGCCTGTCGCCTGCCTGTGGCAGAGAACTACGAACGCAGTTCGTAGTTCTCACAGATCACCTAGTGGTCTGTGGTAGTTCTCTGCCTGTGGCCTGTGGATTGACCAGTTCACAGATCACCTGGCTGGGTGGACTAGTGGTGGGCTTCATAGTTCCTTTCTAGGAACTAGTTCTTTAGATCTAGTTCCTAAAAAGGAACTAGTTCCTGGAACTAGTTCTTTGGAACTATGACTAACTTTGCGATCAGATCGGTATGATCAATCTTGATATGAATCGGATCGAGTGTTTAGGTTCGATATTCGACATCACAAATAAAATAAAAGTAAAATATGGTAAACGATGGGAAACTAAATTCGAAGGCATTGGTTTAAATAATTATTTCAGGAAAATAACGAAGTGGTTTTTTACTTTATCTAAACATATTTTGCTGAATTTTAAATCAAAATGCTATTATTTTTCTATGATTGTTGATTTGTTATTTATTTATTTTCTCTCTAAGAATTTTTTGTTCTTCAAAGATTTATTTATAAACAAAATCTGTGCGATGTTAAACACATTGTATATATTTATATACTTTACTTACATAGCAATTTTTTTGACATAGAAGACAGGAAGCCGTAAAATTTAATTATATCGTTGGGTGTAAGAACTACATTCATTTTACATATTACCAATTTTCAATACAAGCACGTGAAAGCCAAACAGGATCATACTGATGTGTATCATATGATTTTTAAAAATATTTACTTTTGAAACTATAAGCGTAAGAATTTCTTAAAATTTAATCATTAAATCACAATTAAACTAAACTCTAAAAATATCATGACCAGTAAATAATTTAACAATAACTATAACATAAATATAACACGGCTACTACACACAATTATAATAAATTAATCTAAACACAGTATAATGTATATACTTCTGTACCTACAAGCTGAAGTTACAGCCAACGATCAAGCATCGCATACCGGACCGATCACGATTATCATACAGTTCCTCGTTCCTCAGAACTATGTTAGTTCATCCACTAATCGGCTCCGGCTCGGAACTAGTTCCTTTTTCGTTTTCGTCGATCGAAGAAATACTTAGAGATGCAGTTCGCGCACAAATGACGGTATCAAATAGAAGATTAGGAGTGACGTTAATAGTTCCTCGGAACTAGTTCCATTTAATTTTCGGAACTATTTCATTTATAATATAAAATGAACTAGTTCCAGGAACTAGTTCGTTCCGGAACTACCCACCACTAGGGTGGACCAGTTGACCACGCTCACGCACCACGCTTGACCACCTTGACTTTGGTTTTGACAGTTTTGAGGTTTTGAGGTTTAAATTTCTCTATGTTTATGTTTAAAACCATTTAAAACCTGTTTAAAACAGGAGCGATTAATTACAGGGACCCGATCCGTCAACTGCGCATGTGCGAAACGACTGCGTTCGAAATATTTCGAACCTTCAAATGAAAATGTTAAGCGGTATCTTGTCTTGTTGAATAAAAATTGTTTTAAATAGTTCCCTATTTACGTAATTAGTAAATATGTCAGTGAACTGTTTTGAATGTTGTAAAATTTTCTCAAGTCAGTCTAAGCTTTCTACGGCGATGCAATGGGGAGAAAATGTGCATTTAAATAAGTGTCTGGAAGATTTCCAGTAACTTTTTTTTTTCACACCGAAAGGACTCCTACATTAATTAAGTTTATTTTACAGAAATTATGAAAGTTGTTGGAAAAATACAAACACTCTGTTTTATGTCCGACATTACTTCAGTTTTTTATGGAAGAGTATTGAAGAATTAAGCTATTTTAAACACGTTTTAGAACGAGACAACTTTTGAAAACATCCACCTGAAGACAACGATTTTGTCAACCCATACAAGACTAACTGTAATATGTCATTTAAATTTAGTTCATTAATAATGTGTTTACTTTCAACAACAATAAATAAATTTAAGTTTATAATAATACTTATATAATAATTTATTATAATTCTTATCCTCACTCATAAACGTGTATTACGTTAAATATTTTAAACTATCTGGTGCAAAGTTAACAATCTCCATAAGCTACTACAACAAAATAAACAATCTTGGACGGTTAATATCAAAGTCGTCAATATACATTAGGTTAATGTGATTTTCTTTCTTATTACTCAGACTACAAGTTATTTATTCTCTATATTTTAGTTATGAATGTAACAACTATGTACCTGTAGAAATAAATATTGTAATTTTCTATTTTTAATCCTAATCGTTTTTATAAACTTGTTTAGATTTTTTAAGGTTGGAGATTGTCCATCGTTGTCACTTTTGAGCTTTTGATGTCATTTCAAAGATTGCACATGCGCAGTTGACGGATCGGGTCCCTGTAATTAATCGCTCCTGTTTAAAACTATGTAGATGTGATGTAGATCGGCAATTTCTCTATACCAAAGAATATAGAGACGCTTATCTGGATTCTTTTGCCAATTATTGAAATAACTAAAATCAAGTATAATCAAATGGAAGTAAAACAAGAAATCATCGAGAAAACCTGTAAAATAGAAATAATAGAGTCTAATCACTTGGATGATGCACTTTTGGATGGCTTTAAATGTGAAATTCAGGAGTACTCCAATAGACAAAGTACTGATGACACATATGATTCTTTAGACTTTAAGAATTGTCTCATAAATACTGAAATAGAACAACATGAAAATAAACTCGATCTATTCAAAGAAAATCAAACACTGAATAAGGTTAGTATTAAAATATTTAGATCCTCCCATACTTTTGAAGTAGCATAACTATATAGGAATTTTTAGTAGTAATTTTTAAAATTACATACCCAAAAACATACATTGTCTTGTTTCAATAAGGAGGCATCATCATTGGTTTCTTCATTTCCCACAGAAATAATAATTGGTTCTATTGTTTCCTTCTATTACCATATCAAGTTTTCAGAATGTTTCTTCCTCTGCTGACATGTCTTATAGGGTTTATTCAATCAACGCTTATAGCTTTTTGCTAATTATCAGATGACATTTTTGATATGGAGTCAGATAATAGTTGACAAAAATCTTGAAGTTTAAATGTTTAGGTGCTTTTGTAATACTTTCACTCTTTTGTTTTTTTTAAGTCTATAAATAGTTGCTTCTCCAACTCCAGTCATATCTGAACACTTAGAAACTTTAACTCATACAGTACTTGTAAAATGTTCATGTACAAGAGCATCATGTAGATTTAACACTAAAGTTTTCATTGGCAGAGTTAAATGGCATTTTAATTTCACAGGAGTAAAATATTATGTTTGTGACATTTTCACTACACAAGTTCACTTATTAATATTGCTTTTAATTATAGAACTAACAATTCTGCGTGGTCACAGGACTTAACAAACACAACCTGTTAATCTTAACTAAAATGATTCACAATCTGCAAAATATATTCTGCCTCTTGGAAATTTTAATCTTTTATAAGAAAGTTGAGGGCTCATAAATTGAACCTCTCCATTTTGTTAACTGGAAATATTTTATACCTGTAAAGATTACATACTTTGTTATCATTTGTTGATCAAAATGTATATAAAATAAATTGGTATGTTTAAAAAGTTTAGGTAAAACATTTTCATAACAATAGGTACTGAATATTTCATTTTAAAAAATCTGCGTCACTGTTTTGTGATGTTATATTGGGTTTTGTCTAACAGGCAATAAAATTTGTGCTATCAATAATTTTCAAATGTACTATAGGTTTTCGGGGCTGATCAAAACCGATTTTCGATTTGAATATTAGATGATTCATTGTCTTTCTACTCTTACTTTCGTTGGACATGAGAGGAATTAATATATCTGTCTTTAATACAAAAAAAAATATTGACTATTTGTTTCAAATTTTTTTCAAATTCCCGCACTCATGGTTAATTGTGATCTAAATGCTACTGTTAGCTTTGTAGTAAACAAATGGCTCTAAAATTCCAATTCTGATTGACTAAAAGGCAGGCCTATACAAAATTACCAATCATCAATTGATTGATTATAGGGAAAAACATTTTTAAGCACTTTTTAGCAACCTAGATATTTCAGTTTTACAAATTATTTACAAATTTTACTATCTTTAATGCTCTTGGCAGTGTTTCAGACAAAATGTTCAAATAAAACTTATAAAATTGTTAGTCCAGTCATCACAGTGTTGATCCCTAAAAATAACAAAAAACAAAATCTATGTACCAAGAATCTGTACATTGTAGAAAAAAATGTTTCAAATAAAAAATGTAGCTGAGATAATTTTAAACAAGGGTGTTTATAAGCATTTTTATGTAGAATGCAGTTACACGAGTGAAATCAATGTTCAATAAAATTTCTATCAGTACAACAGTATAAAAATTCGATAACTTTTAATTCAAGTGACCTATCGACAAAAATCAAGATGCGTTTTAAAGCTAAAGAGTTCAGCTTTCGGATGCAGTTTCTGTATTTTCCCGCAAATAAACTCAGATTTTATACAGGTGTTAAATAAATAAATGTGGCGGGATTTTTGCAATTTTTTATTATTCTCATGAGATCAATAAAATTGATAACTTTCATTGACCAGTTGTAGTAAAATTTCCATTTTAAAAGATCAATCTTTAAAACTCATGAGATAAAATTTCAATTTTGAGTTGTGGTAACAAATATGAGGCATTTGAAATATGAATAAAAAACGCAGAATTTAATGTTTTACATTATCTCAAATTATCTTAAAGACTTTCAACTTCTTCAAAAGATCTAAAATATACATTGTAATACACATACATATTAATATTATTGTAAACTAATGTATATACACTAATTATATCAACTGTCACATTAATCTAAATATGCTAATGACCCTACGTGGTTGATGAGTTATTAAAAAAAAATGTTTTACATTACAAACGATTATACGTCACTGGAAAGGCATTTAAGAAGACGGTTTTGGGTGTAGTTTATTGCAGAAGTTTTTTTCTTTTGAAAAACATACTAATGTAATTAAAAAAAAGTTTTAAATGTTTTAGATCGTTTGTTGTGTGAACATTTAAATTCCATCGTTTTTAAGCATATTTCAAATGCATCACATGTGTTGCCAAAAGTTAAAACTAAAATTTAATGCTATAGGTTTTAAGGTTAGGCTCTAGTAATCAATACTTCATAGTGAACTATCTACTACTATATCTATACTATGCCTATACTATAACTACTTCAAAAGCTGAACTCTTTACCTTTGTTGTTGTTTGTTTGTGTTTAAATGACTGCGGACACTAAATCCATTCGCCAATCTTACAATTTGAGGTGTAGTGTGTGTGTGTGTGTGTGTGTAGAGTAATTGTCTTGATACTTCACAAAGTCGACGTCATTATCTTTGCTAAGAGACGCTAATTGTATCCGAACGTCTGCGGTCCCTCCGGTGTGTACCGATCACACAAGGATAGAAATTATTTTCATTTATTAATTTTTTTAATAAACGAAAATCTCCACCCAGGTGGGATTCGAACTCACGACCTTTAGATTTAAAGGCAGGCGCTCTTACCACTGAGCCACAGAGGGGGTTCTCTTTACCTTTAAAACGCATCTTGATTTTTGTCGATAGGTCACTTGATTCAAAAGATCAAATTTTTACTGTCGAGCATCGATACAAATTTTATTGAACATTGATTTCGCGCGCGTAACTCACATGCAAAATCAACGGCCGCTTCAACCGTTGTTTCTAAGAGAACGGTTCATCATACACAAAAAATGCTATAAACATAATGGTTTATGTACACAAACAATGCTTATAAACATTTTTATTTAAAATTATCTCAGCTACATTTTTTATTTGAAACATTTTTTTCTACAGTGTACGGATTCTTGGTAAATCAATTTTTTTGCGTTTTGGGGTAAAAGTGGTAAACTTTATTGCATATTTTTTGAGGTCTCAAAATAATACGCTCAGCAAAATTCAGCTTGTTCATATAATTTTTAGAGGTTCAGTGTCATTTTCGTCTCAGTTCGTCAGTGATGACTGGAGTATGTCTCTAGAAATATCCTGTAAATTGCTCATAAAGGAAAGTAAGGAAATTAGACATGCAGGATGATGATCACTGATGATGTTCTCTGCATTTTATTTCTTCTTATCCAGAGTTAAGCGTATTCAGGTCAAACAACTGAAGTTGACCAAGAAACAAGGGATTTGTGTTTGACGAATCTTGTTCACAGCGCCAGAAATGTTGGAATTTAAAATTTAAAAGAGACTTCACAAATAAACTAAAATACAAATTTGTAACTTTTTAGTTTACAATGTTATAAAAAAATAATAAAGCATTGACTATATAAATTAAAAATGAAAAAGAACGACAAAATAGCATGTAGCAATTATTTATTAGATTTCTGTCCATTCTTTTTTTGTTTTTTCTTGCCTATAATATTTCTTGTTGCGTTAAATACTTTTGTTTTGATTTCTTCCCAGTATTCATCGTGGAAATAATACTCTAATACTCTAATTGTGGTAAACACTTCCATTACTCAGAAAATACTCGCTAAAATCAGTTATTGAGGTTATGTAACCACATTTTTGTGTTTTGTTTACTTCTGTTGAATTTGTAATTATCAATAGCTAATTGGCATAGTTTGTACTTTACAACGAACTTTGTGTTTAAAGTGTTTGATCTCCAGTAAGTGTTTTTGGAGTGAAACACATGGGCGAGTGAAAAGTAAGCGTTGTTTCCCTTTACTATTCTTCTTAATAATTAAACATATCTTATTTATAACTTCTAAAACACAATATTGTCCATATAAAGTAAAGTTTCTACGATGTCAGTTGGACAAGTCATAAAAACAAAATTCGACACTCAAGTGTCGGCGTCTTTGTAAAACATAGGCGGCGCAATAGAAATTAAATAATAAACTTTTATTTTTAAATTAAGGTCTAATATTTTGTTAAACAGTAATAATATTTTTAATTATTCACATTTCTTTCTCTAAATTTTAAAGAACCACTGGGATTGACATGAAATTTGTCATACACATATAGCTAACGTGTCAAAGAAAAAAAGTGATATTGTGCCGATGTGTATTTTTGCCCTGGGGGTGAGTACCGCACCTTCTTGGGGGGTGAAAAGATATGCATCCAAAATAAGTCCGGAAGTGGATAAACTGACTAATTCTAGGTAACTTTTGTTCTATAGAGGTTTTTACTAAATCAATACTTTTTGAGTTATTTGCGAGTGAATATATTCATTTTTCATCAAAAACACCACGTTTTTGGACGATTTCTCACAAATAACTCAAAAGGTAAGCATTTTATGGAAAAAAATGTTCGTAGCAAAAATACAGTTTATAAAAAAGTGAAAACAATGGTATATGTATGAAGTCTGTATACCCAGCAGAAGCAGAGTTATAGCTAATGAAAAATAGATTCTTACCTATTCGTCAAATTCCATATCGAATAATTCAACGTGAAATAATAAAAAAAAAATGTTTTTTTACTTTTTTTTTAATTGTTTAAAGAAATCTTTATTTTTAATTTTTAAAAAAGTTTCTAGCATCAAACGTAAGCAAGTTACGCTCAAAACAAAGTTGATCCCTTTTTTTGGTAAAAAATAATCATGAATATGATCTGTAAGTTTCATCGGTTTAAAGAGGTTATTTTTGAAAGATACTTACATGAAATCGGCCAATTCGTCTTACAGTCGAATTGTCTCTTGGGTTATAGATTAATCGAGAGATCACATTTACTACGATACACAGAACATATTTTTGACAAGTTGTGGAAGTCTTTGTAGAAATATTCAAACAATTAAACACTATCACTATCCGTGTGTCCAGAACTTGAGTCGTCGTTTGTGTTTATAACTACCGGTTCAATTGGTGGTAAAGTAGGATATTCTTTTTCTTTTATTTGAACATGCGCTACACAATTTTTCCAAATGTCAGTTTTGTTTAGTTCTTCAATCACTGTTCTTATATTTTGGACAACAACGTCACTTCATTGGGGAGATTGATTCATTTTCTGCAATTTCTTTTTTACATTGGCCCATATCATTTCAATTGGGTTGAAAGCACAATGATATGGAGGGAGCCGTAAAACCGTATGCCCGTGGCGTTCAAAGTGTTTATCTATTACATATTCTTTTTGAAAATTTTGTTGCTTAATTAATTGCAACAATTCCTTTTTGGTACATTTACTAGGTGTTGCCATGCATTTGTTCTCCATAAATTCTATGATATCTCCCTTCTTGGAGCTAGTATTTGGAATTTTGGTGTAGAGTCTAGAATGGTATGACGCATTATCCATTACTATCACGGAATTTGTTTTAATATTCGGTAACAGCTGTTCCGTTGCCCAGCATGTAGAATTATAATTCTTTTTCCTCTCGAACAAGGAGTATTCGAGCAGCACTTTTTGCTTTCATCCATCCAGCCATATTGAACTACATCATGGGTGTCAAACCACGTTTCATCAAGATACACAATGTCTCTATTGTCATCTCGATATTCTTTAATGTATTTACAACTTATTTTCCACTGTCTTAACTCAAACTTAACTAAAACACAACACTACTGTTTCCACAAAAATATTAAAAATATACGTGAACTTGCTGTCGTACACGACGATACTGAATATATCGTTTAGTATGAGAAACCTGAGAAGGCATTTTTGACCAGATAACGATCAAGTTTGAGCGTAATAACTTCCGAAGAATATGACTAATTACACTTCAGTAGTGCCCGATAAGATACGTAGAAAGTAATAAACCACAGCTGCAATTTGGACAATACCGTTAGTGATCAATTACAAATAATGTTTATATTTCTGAATTATTCGGGACTGGACCCTAAAAATTCCTTTATTGAAATTTAAAATTGATGATTAAAAGTATATACATACACAATGCAAATGAAATGTAATGTGCTTATTAATTTGAGAACTAAAAAATGAGACTACAATTTTACAAATAAAATAATTTATATAATAAGTTTATAATAAAATAAAATAAGTTTATCACGACGACACTGTTATTGATGCTTGCCGCCTTTGAAACATGAGAAGCAATTTTTACCTGATAACGGCAAAGCCATATTTGGTATCAGTGTATTCACTTCCGAAAATTTTGACCAATTACATTTCAGTATTACCCAATAAGATACGTTCAAAGTAATAAGCCACACCAATATCCATGTGGACTAATACCAGGAGTAATCAATAATTAGAATTACAAAGAATTATCTTTATTTCTATGTTTGCCGTAGAATTACTGACCGGACCCCAAAAATTGTTCTTTCCCAATTAATATCGTAACAACTTTACAAAGTAGGTATACCTACAAAGCCACTATCACTTATAAAATCGCATAAGGAGTTCAAAATATTCCTAATAATAATTTTTCACACTAAAAAGCCTACAAATCGACTTAAATATCACAAAACACCATAAAATTGACAACAAGCTTACCAAAGAAGCCAAAAGCTAAAAAATTAATAAAACTCCCATTACAAACAGATATTATATTACAATGACGACAACTCTCATTGTGACCTGTAACAATGTCACAACGTCACAATGTCACAACTATCATACCTGTTATTCTTTGTACCATGGGTGAATATCATTTTTGAAATGCGAAATCCATCTTCATAAGCGTTCATGGTTGCTATGGCAACTTGACGTCAGCTTGCCGCTGATGATAGTTGAGAAAAATAGCAAGTGCAGTGCCGTTTAAAAATATGTTATCCATCCACCCACTGGCCACTAGTTGCGTGTGTACCTATTTAGTATTAGCAGTGACAATATTTTGAAATTTAGTCTATTATATAGATATTTTTTATATAGTATAGTGTATAGCAGTGGTTCTCAACCGGTGTTCCGCGGAACACTAGTGTTCCGCGAATTCCTCTCAAGTGTTCCGCGAAATACTCGCAATCCTACATACCATTTTGCTAAATTACTTTTTCAAATAAATATTTTCAAATTTTAAAATAGCCACTTACGTACATTTTAATTTAATAAAATTCTGCAGCGTAAATGTTCATTTGCCCAACGTGACAACACCGCATCGACACAGTGCACACGTTGGATTTTATAAGCGCTGAGCGCTGAGCTCCGCAGTGGCTACAGCCAATCTGAGTCACCCACGCCACAGTCTGCAACTGAATGTTGAATTTGTTACATTGCACAAACGTAATACGTGAAAATCGCTGTGTCAGTTATTTTATGATAACGTTTACGTGCGGCTTATCTATCAAAGGTAAGTAATTGCATATTTTATACAAAATGTGAAGCATTCATCCGCATTATTTTGTTTAGAGACGAATAAATTAAAATGGATAAGTTCCTCAAACTTAAAAGAAAAACTAATGTGGAACAACTCATAATTAATGATGATGAAGCGAGCACCAGCGGAGATACTGGAACTTTACGAAGTGGGGTTGATGACAAATTGAAGCGCAGCAAAAAAATGTTGAACCGGCAATATTTGGATGAATATTTGGATTATGGCTTAATTTCGACTGGGGAAGAAGACTGTCCAATTCCCAAGTGTATTGTTTGTGGGCAGACACTCGCTAATAGCGCAATGGCTCCGGCTAAATTAAAACGCCATTTTACTACCAAACACGCTAGTGTAGCTTCAAAAAATAAAGATTATTTCAAGCGACTTTTGGAGACACAAGCTAAACAAGCGAAACAATTTGAAAGGTCGCTAACAATTTCCGACAAAGCACAAATAGCTTCATATAAGGTCGCCGAATTAATTGCTTTGAAACAGAAACCACACACTGTTGCAGAATCTCTTATATTACCAGCATGTTGTGAGATGGTCAAAATTATGTTTGGCAACGATGCACAAAACGAAATACGGAAAATTCCTGTGTCGGATGATACAATAAGAAGGAGGATTGTTGATTTATCTGCAGATATTGAGGAAAAAGTTACAAATAAACTTTACAAAAAAAACCTCGCATTGCAGGTGGACGAATCCACTGATATTAGTGGCAAAGCTCATTTATTAGGATTTATTTGATTTGTCGACCAAGGTGAAATAGTCAATCAGTTTTTATGCTGCAGAGAACTTACAGCACGTACAACAGGTCAGGGTGTATTTGATTCCATAACGTCATATTTAGAGAAAAAAAATATATCATGGGACTTTTGCGTAGGAATTTGTACGGATGGTGCCTCTTCCATGGTAGGCTCCATAAAAGGTTTTTGTACCCTTGCAAAAAAGCGAAATGAAAATATATCTACGCACTGTTTCTTGCATAGAGAATCTCTAATTTCAAAAACGCTACCAGCTACTTTGAAATCTGTATTAGACCAAGTGGTTAATGTCGTGAATTACATCAAATCAAGACCACTAAAAACCCGTCTTGTTAAACAACTCTGCATCTCAATAAAATCAAAGTATGAATGTTTGTTGCTGCACACCGAAGTTAGATGGTTGTCAACTTGTCAAGGGGCAAAGTATTATGTCGAATTTATTAACTTAGAACGGAGCTGTTAACTTTTTTCCAAGAAGAAGGTAATGACACATTTACCACATATTTTGAAAATTATGCATGGTGCACTAAAGTGGCATATTTGATATTTTTAATTATTTAAATGGCGTTAACTCAAGTATGCAAGGCAAAAATGAAAATATTTTAACATCCGCAGACAAGCTGTCAGCTTTCCAGAAAAAATTGTCATTTTGGAAGAAGCGCATTTTAGAGACAAATAAAATGGATATGTTTCCACTGCTTCAGAATAAAGGTGATGAAGATAAAGAACAAGAAATCACGCATATAAATACAGAACACTAGACACTATTAGAGGAGACAATTGCCAGGTATTTTCCATCTCTGAACGTAGAAAAATATGACTGGATAAGAAGTCCTTTTAGCACAAGTAATACAGCCAATTTCCAGTTTTCTCTGAACCAAGAAGAAGAATTTATTTCGTTGTCATCTGATCGTACTCTGAAAATTAAGTTTTCAGAAGTGAATGTTCAGGAATTTTGGATCTTGGTTCAAGAGGAATATCCACTTCTTGCCAAAAAAGCGATTAGTATTTTAATACAGTTTTCAACGTCCTATTTATGTGAATTTTGTTCTCATCTTTAACAAACATTAAAAATAAGAAACGGGAAAGGCTGCTAAACTTAGAACAAGAAATGAGAGTAGCTCTTTCCCACATCAGGCCTGATATTGAGCAAATTTGCAAACGACACCAAGCACAAGTGTCTCACTAATTTGAAGTATTTACTCATATGATGTATTTTGAGAATTACGCTTTTGTTAATTTTAAAAATGTTTTTTGTTTTCATATTTTAAGTAAAATTTTACAAATTTGAGTACGTATAATAAAGTTTATTACAGAATTTATGTGCTAATCCTAATTTGTTTATCAATATATGCATGTTATTGCTTTGGTGTTCCGCAATTTTTTTCGGTAATTAAAAGTGTTCCGTCGCCACAAAAAGGTTGAGAACCACTGGTGTATAGTATAGTATTTATTACTTTAGTTTAGTCACAATATTAAGTTTAATTGTTTAGTGCACTTTATTAATACATTTCTTTGTGGTTTTAGACATACATGAATCCAATTAATGACTTGGTGTGTAATATATTAGAGACTCCGTTTAGGCATTGGAAAAATGAAGATAAAAGGGATGTACTTTTACATGGTCGACCAACCAGTATTTTAAACATAGGACTAAAAAAGGAAGTTAAAAAAAAAGGCAAGTCATATAAAATTAATTTTAAGTCTTCATGGTTCACAGAATTCAATTGGTTGTGCAGTAGCACAGCGTTAGAAAAATTGTATTGTTGGCCATGTCTCCTCTTTTCAAATAAAAATTCTGTATGGAATAGAGACGGTTTTGTTAATTTTTTGAATATTAATAGATCGTTACATAAGCATGCAGATTCTGGAGAGCATTTAAAAAACCATTTATTGTTAAGAACTTTCGAACAAAATCAAAATACGATTGCCAATCCCTTAGAAGAAAACGCTAGATTACATAAACTAAATTTTAATGAAAATGTTCGACTAAATAGGATTTGTTTGCGGACAGTTATTGATGCAGTTTTGTACCTCAGCAAACAAGAGTTGTCTTTTACGGGACATGATGGGAAAAGTGACTCGAGTAACAGGGGTAATTTTGAGGAGTTATTAAATCTGTTAATTGTTCAATGCCCTTTGGAAACTAAAAATCATTACGAAAAAATCAAAAATGTTTTTAGTGGAGAATTCAGTGGAAATAGTGGAGAATCAAAAACAATTAAAAATGAATTAATTGAGTGCATTTGTGGTTACATAAATGATAATATTATAACTGAAATTAAAAACAGTTCATTTTTTTCCCTCCAAATTGATGATGCTACTGACATAACGCAGATGTCGCAGTCTTCAATAATATTAAGATTCGTAAATTCTCAAGGACTATTAATTGAAAGGTTTATGGGATTTTACGATGTAAGTGCTGGTAGAACAGCTGAGCATTTGTTCACTATGGCTGCGATAGTTTTAGAGCCTTTGGAATACCGACATAAGCTTGTAGGACAGTGTTACGATGGAGCCAGTGTAATGTCAGGGCATTTAAATGGACTTCAACAAAAAATTAAATCGCATGCCCCACAAGCAATTTTTGTGCATTGTCTAGCCCATCGACTTAATCTTGTTTTCCAACAGAGCTTTAAGAAAATATCAAAATGTCGAATTTTTTTTGCAACTATTACCGGAATCCCATCGTTTTTTCATAGTTCAGCAAAACGATCGTACGCTCTTGCATCTACATCGGCTAGACGTATGCCAACAATTACAGAGACAAGATGGTCGTCGAATTCAAAATTAATCAGTGTAATTATTGAAGACTGGGAAAAATTAAAAGAGGTTTTTGATAATATAATGAATTCTAAAGAGTCAGACCGTAAATCAATTCAGCTGGCTAAAGGCTTTTTAAGAGATTTAAATGATTTTGAGTTCACATTTTTAGCAACAGTTTTTAGCGACATTTTTCATATAACAGATATTTTATATGATGTTCTTCAAGAAAAGTCCCTAGATATTACTTTTTGTTTAAACCAGATAAGGAGAACTCGTCAATTAATAAGTGATAAAAGAAATGAAGAATTTTTTAATTTCATTTTTGAAAAAGCAAGCACAATGACGGTCATTAGTACTTCCAAAAGGTTTAGGTGTGATGATGGTATGAGCAAGAATGCAATTACTACTCAATACAGAGCATTATTTTTTGAAATATATGACCATATTTTAATGGAAATGGATGTACGTTTTCAGGATTGTGATAAATTAAAATTCGTAAGCTTAGCAGATACAACAAAGTTTGATTCATACAGTTTGACCTTCCCTTCCGACGCTTTTCAAAATTTATTTGAGTTTTATGGCACAAAATTTACTAAACATCAAAGACTTAAAAATGAGCTCTGCCTTCTTTATGCCGACGAAAATTACAAAAATGTGAATTTGCAAGAATTGGTTATAAAGTTACAACCAATTAAAGACATTATTGCAGAAGCCTACAATTTGTTTTGTTTAATTCTGACAATTCCATCGACAAGAGTATCTGTAGAAAAAAGTTTTTCATGCTTAAAAAGGTTAAAAATTTTTACAAGAAACACTATTTCACAAGATAGATTATCCAGTTTGAGTGTTATCGCACTTCATAAAGAACTGTTGAATGAACTTATGCAGAAGCATCCTTTCTACGAGGATATTATTGATAGATTTGCCTCCCTAAAAGACCGAAGGATCGACTTGGTTTATAAAAACTAGATAAGTCAGTTCTATTAGTCTATCTAATATTGCTTTTTTTGTTTGTTTAAGTATCTCTTCACCCTCGGTTCTAGTATCATCACTATCATCATTCCGCAACCTCTTGCATCCACTTTTGGGATATAGGTCTCCTCCATATTCTTCCATTGTTCTCTATCTTGTGTCATCTGTATCAAATTTCCCACTGTTTTTCTCAAGTCGTCCGTCCATATTTTTGGTGGTCTACCTCGGCGTCTTTCATCTTCTCTAGGTCTCCATTCTATAAGTCTTTTGGTCCACCTATTATCATTTAAACGTGCTACATGTCCAGCCCATCTCCATTTGGCTTGTGCAATTTTTTCTATGACATCTGTCACTTTAGTCCTCTCTCTCTACCTCTCCCTCCCTCTCTCTCTCCCTCCCTATCTCTCTCTCTGTCATCCCGTGAGAGGTTGTTGGTCCTCCATCGGGCGCCTCCCCAGGTGGCGGATAGGGGAATGCCTCCTAGATATAGGTGGTACCGGGGAAATGAAATACTCGGGGCGGACCAAAACCAGTAAACACTGCATCGTCTGATCCAGAGTGGTCGGCTGCAATCAGTATCTGACCCAGGGTGGGCGGCTGAATCGAAACTCACCAACCCGTTTTAGCAGGCGTGGTGTTTTAATCGCCAAAAAACCCCAATGAAATGTCAAGGTTCAGAACTAAAATACCCCAGGTAAGTAGAGCGAATCGTATCTAGCATAAGTGCCCCAAAAAACTGTTTTGAAGTTGTTTGTTGTTGTTTGTTTGTGTTTAAATGACTGCGGACTATTAGGGCCCCAAACTCTATACATTTTTTTTAACGAATTTTTAATGAGATTTGGGGGCGACGTAGGTACCAAAACTCATCTTCACTTTTTTAGGCCACGAGCCGCCGCAGTGCAGAGTTAACAAAGAAAGAAACGAAAGACAACAAAGAACAAACAAACTGAAGATTCAGGAATGTAAAGAGAAGTTCGAAGAAGAAGTCGCAAATGAGCTTATGATGCTATAACTGCACTCCATAGAGGGCAAATGGAAAAATATCAAAACAGCAGTGCTGACAGCTGCAGCTTCCATCCTGGAAACAAAAAAAAAAGGCGAGAAGAGGAGCATGGTTCGATGACGAGTGCAAATAAGCAATAGAGGAAAGAAATGAAGCACACAAAATGTATATAAAAAAAGAAAACGGGAAAGACGAACACCATTTGAAGTCGCAAGACGGAAAGCAGACAAGATATGTAGAAATAAAAAAGAGCATATGAAAATGGACAAATAGAAAAAATTTCTGTGACTAACAGAAAGTCACAGAAACTTGGAAGCATTATTTTCAAACCCTACTTGGTACACAAGTAGACACGGAAGATGAAATGGGTATGAACTACGTAGAAGAGAATGGAGTAAACCCATTAAGGCCACAATGGATGAAACTCAGGCGTGTATACGAATACAAAACCACCGGACAGACTTTTTCAAAATTTCGCAGGTAGGGAGATGGGCTGGCCCCAACTTTGTTTAACCTGGCACTGGAGTATGCGGTTAGGCAAAGGGCAAACTGGACGAGGAAACCTACTGACCAACCGAACGGTTCAACCGGCCGCTTATGACGATGATATTAATATTATGAGTAGAACATCAACAGGAGCGCAGGAAACATACGCAGAGTTAAAAACGCAAACAAAAATGCTAGGTCTGGAAATTAACATAGAAAAAACAAAAATAATGATACAGACGAGAAGAAGTATAGTCCCACAAAACATTATACATGAAGATGACATTGAAACGGTTGGAAAGCTTACATACCTGGGAGTAGAAATATGTACCGAGGGATCAGAATATGGAGAGATATCGAAGAGAATAATGCAGGCAAACAGAGCTTATTTTGCCTTCTCCCATATATTTCGGTCTAAAAATTTCCAGTGAAATACAAAGATGAGAATCTATAAAACCTTAATTGACCAATAACATGTTATGGCAGTGAAGCATAGGTCCTAAAAGGAACGTCCAAAAGCAAACTCGATAGAGTCGAAAGGAAAGTACTGAGGAGAATACTAGGACCTGTGAGGGAAAACGGAATCTTCAGAAGTCGATGCAACAACGAGTTTTATCAACTTTATAAGGAAGCACCACTGTCATTAGAATACTAAGATTGCAATGAGCCGGACATGTGATAAGAATGGGGGAGGATAGGCTACCAAAAAGAGCACTGAATGCTAGAATGCAGGGAAAGAGACCGGTTGGAAAGCCAAGAAACCGCTGGGAACACGCAGTAAACAGCGTCGCGCAAGCCCTTTTAGGAGTCCGTGTATGAAGAAGATCAGCCACAGACAAGCAAGGATGAAAGCATAAAATAAAGGAGGCAAAGGCTCACTTTGGCTGTAGTGCCATAGAAGAAGAAGAAGTTATCATATAGTACATTTTGGTTATAAGCATTGAAAAAATCGAGTTTTGAATATATTTGTCCTCCCTAAAATGCGACAAAAATGTCCTTAATGGATGGTTGAAGTCTTTTAAATATTTATTTACGGTGATTTTATAGTTAGCGCAAACACGGATATCTTTTTTGCCATCGGGCTTCGTAACTGGTACTACTCCCATGATAATATTGAGATCGTGTTTCTTTGTAGGTGCTAATACTTTTTCTAAATCATGATAGAATTTTTCAATTTCTTTTTGTTCATAGTGTTGTGTGGGTGCATATACTTGTAATATGTTCACATTGATTGTTGTTGATTGTATTTGTATTATCAGTATCCTGTTTGAGAATAGGACGACGTTTTTTACAGCTTTATCTGTTTCCTTCGACACAATTATTGCTTCACCATTTTTGTGTTTTGAGCTGTCTTCTCCTGAATAGTATACAATGTGATCATCTACAGTTACTTTTCCAGACCATGGCCATGTCATTTCACTTCAATACATACTGGCCTTGTGACTCCAAGTGAACCGGAACCGGTTACCCGAGTCTTAAAGATGACCCGAAATTCCCGTCACTGAACAGGGTACATAAACAAATGTTTACCGTTTTACAGAAGCTTACAGAATGGACAGCAGGAGTGTAACGTCACATCTGTCACATTGTTGTTATTACTTTCCAAACAAAAGTTAAAATGTCAAATCTCAAGACTTTTTAATTTCTATAAAGTTAACATTTTTCTTTCTCTGCTACTTTTTCTTTTAAGTTTAGTGTTTTTACGATAATACCATCACAATTCAGTGGTCTATTCCTATGAAATATAGTTTAAAAGTATACATTAAAGAAATTCTAACCTTACTTTATTGATACATGCATTTTATTGCTATTTTTATAAAACAACATGCTTTATTATTTACACAACCTTGTAAAATTGTTGTAGTAACTATTAGAATACTTAGATATTGCAAAAAGCGGAAAGATTCTGTAAAAAAAGTTTAAAAATAACGAAAAATACAAAATATCCACACTAAACAACGTTTGTTTGGAAAGTGAAACTGACAGATGTCAATCAAATCTACGTCATCACTCCTGCGGTCCATTGTTTACAAGCAATGACGTATAATATATAGACTACGCAGTCCCCTATTCTCGCTATAGAATCGAGTGTCCGAAAGATCTCGGCTCAAGGTTGAAGTATGTTTATCAGAACAGCGGCGTGCTCATTTATATGTTAATGACAATAAATATTTTTTTAATTAAAATTAAATATTTATGATTTCTTTTTGTTCCGTCTATAAGAGAACTAATTATATTGATAAAATAGTATGGCATTTTACTAAAATAGTAAGTAAATAACTCTCAACAATTTAAAATAAAATTTGCTTGTCACACAAAATGGAGAAAATGTTTTCATACGTCCATGATGTTTTCAAACACAAGATCAACTTCGTGATGCTTCATAAGAAATCATGAACTTCGTGCATCTTCGTATCAAAACAATAAACAATAACAAAGGTATTCATGTTTTGGACACTTTTTAAAGCGTTCACCGAGTCTATATATTATACGTCATTGTTTACAAGCTATATTTTAAGTTGACAGATGACGGTTAGCAGACAGCCGTCAGTTATCACCTTAAGGTTTAAAGCAGGGGCGGATTAAGGCCTAAGCAACCTGGGCCCGAAAATTAGGTTTTTAATTTTTATACTTAATTTTTGTTTTTTTTTTTTTTCACAAGAATACGTAATATTCCTAATTATTGCTGAAACGTGTCCAAATTATACCGAATCGTTAATTGATAAAGTCGACAAGGTTGGACAAACGTTCCCGTGCTTATGCGTCTATTCGGGCGACTATCGATGTGTGTAAATACGGTCCAGCTTCGCGCCTCTGGGGTTTTTTACTACACACGTGTTTAAAAAGTCAAAAGTAGCTATATATTTAAAATCAGTGTCTCCTGAACGTTAAGTATAGTATGTCATAACCTTATGTCAGTTTAGATTGAAATTTGTGGAATTAAGACTGCAGTACCTAGATTTGATTGCATATAGATTGTTTTGGATTAATAATTAAAGATTTCTGAAATTCATAAAATAAAAATATAAGTTTTTTATAAAAGTATTATATTATTTAATTAAAATAATATATACTTTATCTAAAATAACACAAATTGTGATTTGGTTTGTGATCGAGATATTGATTAAAAAATAACTATATTAATTAGAGATAATTTTCTTCTTTCTTTTTAATACGTGGTCTAAAACGTAAAGCAGATTAAGATAAAGTGGCAAAACAAATGAGAAGATCATTGGACAATAAATGTTTAACTGGAGATGAAAAACAATTACAACAATCGGTATCATTTGCACAGATTTCACCTGCTCAAATTCCAGAAACATTATTTGTGTCTGAATCTATTCTCCAAGAGCACCAACAGGAAAAACCAAGCAATTCGATTGTGAAGATGAAACAAAAGGAGAAAATATAAATTTAAAATCATCTCAAGTAATGATGAAACTATGAGTTTTGTAAACGATATTGCATTATAGTCAGATTACCTAACAGTTACCATACGAGAGTATTA